TGAATGAAAATTGTATCCAAATGAATTTTGAGTGTACCTCGATTGAAAGACGCACATTAATTTTTTTGCCACTGGAATAGGAAAAAAGAAACTTTTTGCGAGTTGGAGACTCAATCTTATCTCGTTCAATATCTGTTGATTCTTCTCATGCTTTAGCTTCTCGAATTCTCGAACGCATTTGATGAGAATAAATATTTTAATTCGTCGGCCCTTAAATTGAAAATTATGGTAAGGATTTGTTTAACATTACATGTTTGTTTCAATTTATCTTTTAAGAGTGCTGTGTGCGTCAGGAGAAGCAATCAGCTTGCGTTTTACTTCCCAATTAAAGGCTCATCATCGAACATAATTCGACGCCGAAGATTATATATAAGCGACGTACTTTGTGAGACAATTTCTGGAATTGAGCGTCTTTCATTCGAGTGCAGTAATTACAGATTTGAAATTCAAGTCAATCCGAGAAAGAGAAATGAAGCGGATACATTTTCAATAATAATCCTGCCTCGTTTACCCCGATCGTGTTGAAATTTGGGTGCGGTTGATTGAAGTCCGTTCAATATAACAGTTCTATAGTTACTATAGCTAGCTGTAGTTGACGAAAGTTATCAGTCAATGTCATAACATTTTTGTGTGTGTGTCTTGTGCAGGTATGGCACTGCTCGAAAACTGTCGGATGCTGAAGCCTGGGATCTGAGTCTCTCTCGAGAACAACGATTCAACCAGTTCACTACAGGGACCGACTGTCCTGTCCCTCCGAAGCCCGAAACGCGACAGTCGCGCATTTTATCCCGCATGGAATCCTCGCCTGCTTTGAGCATCACCCCCCAGAGCAAGTTTTCTTTATCGCCGGACTTGAGTTTCGGGCTTTTTGAGAATCGGTCGGACAATGCTATTGAAACCGGGGTCGAAGCCGTAGAATCGACTGAAAATTCAACTGGGAACCCCGAAGGTGAAGGTGCGAAAAAGAAAGCCTTTTTATCGTTCAGTTGGAACAAGTGATGTGGTCGACATTTTTGGAAGGGTTTTTTTTTTTTTTTGTGTGCCAAAGGGGTTTCTCATATGGGACGTCTTAATTGCGAGTCACCAACGAATTATTGGCGCATGCGGATGCAACTACTGCTGGTATGGTGGGGGATTTTCATCGAACTGTTTTCAAGATTATGCAAGGAATTTATTTGATTGCGAGCGGTAGATGAAGAAGGTTGAGATAACTACCGGGATAAATTGAGAAATCCCTAATTTAAAAATATGAAAGCATCGGAAAGATCGTTGAGAAAATGATAGGTAACGCTCCTTTTTTTTGTGATGAAGATCCTCAAATCTGACCTGGTATTTTCCCTGGGACGCATTTACTACAATAATTTCCTAGGGGATTTTGTCCGTTGTCATCTTTATCAAATAGATCCTCATGCAGCGGGAACATTTTAATTACGGTTTACATTTTAAAGAGCAGTTGGTTAAGAAAATGCTTGACAAAATAATTTCTGCCCGATCATCCTCGAATAAATTACGTATAGCAACAATTGCGCGATATTTGCCCCTTTCTTCGCGAGCAGACGTTCTTCTTACTTTTCCCTACACGTTTTTGACAAAAATTCAAGTTTTTATAGAAATAACGGATGCTCCCTTCGGGCAATTGGAAAAACTTTTCCGTGAATAATTTCTGTTCCGCATATTCCAACAGAGAAAACGGGTAGAAATGTTTTTGACAATCGAAAATAAGCTGCTGAAAATGATCAATCATGAGAAGTCATGGGTCATGTTTGTTATGATCATAGTAACAGTGTTTATGTGTCTCGCCAATTTTTTTTGAGAAGCCTCTGAGTTATTTTTTTTATTGAAAAATAATTTTTTCTATAGTCGTGGAGGAACACGGTTCCGAGATCGTAATTCGAGTCTTTGATAATTTTCTTTTAGAATATGTTTCATTTCTGTGAAGCTCCTTACTTTGGGTGCATATAGTCTTGCGCAAAAAGTATGACAATTTTATTTTAGCAACTGAAATTCATAATTATTGGCAGCGTTTTATCGCTCTTCCCTCTTTAATTTCGAATGCTCGTGTTTTAATTTTAAAATTTATGACACATTTCGATATTTTCATGCGATTGGGTTGAGTTTTCTTCATAGGTTTTTTTTTAAAGCTAATATCAAATTACTTTGGTAGTGTTGTTCTCATAGATTGATTGACATTTCTTCCAGGAGAGCGCCCCTGACGAGGTCAAATGTACTAATTTGTTTTATTGACAGAATTTAAATTTATAGTACTGTACTGTACTTGAATGCAGTCGTCTGTAGCATGGCACGTTTTGTAGTGGCGGAACAAAGGTTCGACTCGTTTGAGAAAAATCGGCTGACCCTAATTTTTCTCTTCTGTGGACTTCGTCCAGTGTTTTTTTTTTTTTTTTTTTTTTTTTTTTTTTTTTATTTGTTCTATTTTTTTTTTTTTTTTTTTTTTTTTTTTTTGCAGTACATAGTATATTCCTCATCATTACTGCGTTTGTATCGAAGAGAAAAAAAATTACTTAAAAGGCTGGCTTTAAGCAAGACAAATTTGTGATAAAGTTGAAAATCCAGTCGCGATTTAAAGATCCCGGGTTTTATTTGCTGCCACACTTCCGTATCCGAAGAAACATGTGCTTAACGTTCTTCAACGCATGCTTGAACCGCATTCCAAGCATAATGTTTTGTATCCCATTTATTTTCGAGTAAAAACGTCGCAACAGTTGATGTTCTGACTCATTGTCCGCATTGTATCTCTTATACTTCAAATAATCGCGTGTCAAATTTTATTGTGAATCGGGATGAATTTTTGTTTTTCTCGGCGGCCGGGAGAAGATTTTGCGGAATTCCCTCGTGAATTGAGACAATTGGTAACTCAAAAGAAAACATTCTTTTTGTCCGCTGCTGAATTTGAGCGGATGATTGATGCCAAACAAAGAAAGAAAACTTGAGTCTTTTTCGGGTGTGCCTGCGAAGTGAATTTGAGCGCAGCGTGGAAGCGAGACGATATCAACGAATAATTGTGATGAGATTTTTGGGTATCGGTCGTCTGTGACAAAACTCTTCATTGACGGGCTTTCAGTAATTGAAGTATTTATTCTTGGTGCTGCTCGTGGCGGTTTTGCTAGCGATTGTGATTTTGAGATCCGGATTCGAGATCGGATCATAGGCATTGGAGGATTCCTTTTTTTTTGAGAGAGAAAGAGAGAAGAGACGATTGGAAAACTGGTGGTGGATAAGAAAAGTTCGCAACGTGCGCAGAAATCTTTCAGATTTTAATCCTGGGAAAAGTGGCTCCCTCTACTTCAAAACTCGACGTTCGCAGCTTTTTGATTGCGTTCTTTCTCCGAAAGGTGTCGCCTGAAATTGTTTTAAGATTCTGGACTTCGTGAGGTATGCACATACGCCGCACTGCATTTTAGGCCTCATCGTATTGCGTCACTCATGAGTCAGTTCAGATTTTTGTTGGTTCAATTCCAGTCTGATGATCGTCTTGACATTCCAAAATGCAAGCTTGGGTGTTGAAGTGGAGAGAGCCTTTAATCTTTTTGCCACTGCATTTGTTTTGTTGGGGGTAAAAGTAACATCTGCAGTTTTGCGATGTTGAATATTTTACAAGCTTAGAGAAATTTTATAACGTCTCTTCTCTCTTTAGACGTGGGTGGACGAATTTGATAACATATCATCGGCGGCTTTGCGAATGCTTAGCTACAATTTTCGCAGAAAATAATTGTACTAGCTTGTCATCCTGAGCTGTTCAAAATTAAGAGCAGAAAAAACGTACGATTCGTCTGAAGATCAAACCATGTTTGCTTGTCTGTACTGTATGTTGTTTTAGGCGACAATAAACAGCAGCAGCGAAGTGTGTGGGGTGATGATGGAAAACAAATTCTGCTGTGAGGCGGAAATTTTCGTGCGAGTTATCGAGATTATGTTGGAGATGTTCTATATAGAGGCTAATTTTTTTCTGAGATAATTGAAGCCGATTTTGTTATGGTTACCAAATGCGTGAGATTTCTATTAGACCAATCGCCTTAGATTTGGTTTTTTTTCGAGTGCGTTGTGTGAGACGCCGGACAAGAGAAATATATAGGTCTTTTTGGGCAGAAGTCTTCTTTCTTATTGAATTCATTGTTGTGCTGCTGTGCATGAGACCGCATGAAGGGAATGCGACACATGTATGCTCAATTGAAAAATAGGAATGTCCCACTACCGTATCGATAAATGTTTCTGTCATTATTGAGAACAATTACTGTACATGTTTTACGATCTACCAGCATTTGCTATTTTTCGGATTTTCAAAACATGTCTACACAACGCATAATTTAACGAAAAAACTTCCCAGTTACGGTCGGAGTTTTCCACGCCTTTTACAAAATTCTGAGAATTTGTCAAGAGGATTTAAAAAATTTAACACTTTTTGGTATAGATTCTGTAGTGTAGACTATTACGTTTCTCATATATGAAGAAATTTTCAAAATTTTGTGTTGAATCAGTTCCCTCTTGTAATGAATGAAAAGGGCAAAACTTTCTGGAGGGTGTCAAAGGCAAGGTGTTATTAGAATTGATTAAATAAAATTTTCCAGTGACTCTTTTTCCACGGATTATTCATATGTGCATTAAAATTTTTTTTTTTTTAATGAAGTTTGATTTTCAGCTCCGCGAATTTTTTAAATTGGCTGAACACTTCGTGAAAAACTCCCTTGTTTGTCCTTCAAATACACTCAGGGGCGGACCCAAATCAAAATTTGACTTCAGGAGTTTTTGAATTGGAGAAAGCAGCATTTTTTCCGTAGGAAAATGAACATTATAAGAAGAAAGATTGTTGGTCTCCTGGGCATTATAATGCTGGAGTTGACAGGGTGCTAAATTTGGATTCAGAGGCAAGGGTACATATTGACCACATCATCCAGTCACTTCCTTTTGAAAAGGATCGACACGGATTCCGTCAGCAAAAATTCGTATTTATGCTTGCGATGAAAAATATAAAGTTCGCATAATTAGCAAACTAGAATTTATATTTTCGAAGCAAAAAACATGAAATACCCAGCACAACCGCGTTCATTTAAAAAATGAATCCCGCAAATCATTCGAAGAGCTGCTGCTTCTGCGTGTAGCGAAAAAAAAACCACCTGTTCTTGGTATTCAGGCTGTTCTCCTCATCAATCCTGTTTGCTTGGATTCTGCCAATTTACTTTATCGTCGCTGATTTTGCTGCTGAAAAACGCTGTCGCCAATGAGTAATCTATTTACAAGCTTACGTCATCGTTTTAGTGCAAAAGATTTGACTTCTCCCCTTGGCCGAATTTCTTGCGGTGGTCGCAGCCCTCTGAAGAAAGCCTGCAAGGAAAGTGTGTTTGAGAATTATACTTTCCGAAGTTAATGTTGAGTTTTCAGATTCATAAAATCATTCATCGTAATTTTTACTTTACAGGGACGTCTGATGTTCACGCGTGCAGTTCGGCAATTATTCTGAGTAATTCATCTGCAAGTTTTCCTCATACGGTATTCTTGGGTTTTCACAGTTCTTCTGAATTATGCCCTCTGCAAATTTCAAGTTTCAACACATCCTGATCGTATATGAAACCTATGGGGGTTGTCTTACTTTAGTGTGACCTTGTTTACTTCCAGAGTGGGTATACTTGAAAGAAAAAGATAGCCTTTGATGTTGTAGGGCTCCAAAATTTTTTCGATAAAAAATCAATTTATTGCATGATAAGTGAAAAATTTCCAGTCATGGACAGCAGAGTTCTTCAGCACCCATCTGACAGGGTGCTCAAAATTTTCAGCTAGGCCAGCTAAAAAAAAATGGAAGTTTTTATTTTAACCATGATCTTTTATAAATTTTAGACAATGCTTAAAACAGCAAAGAAATTTAAAGTTTTGACAGGTTTGACAAATTTTTAGCGCCCTGAGACATGGGCACAGAACTCTGGCCATAACTGGAAGGTTTACACTCATCATGCAGTAAATTGACCTTTTTTAATTCAAAAAGTCCTAGAACTTCACCACATCATGAGCTATACATACATATACATGAAGTCATAATTATTATAGAAATAGCCAAAGTCACATCAAAGTGGGATGACTCTAGCATCTTGTTCCATTTTTATTTAAGCACTACTGTGCTGTATTATAAAGAATCTCAACATTATGAATTTCGAAAATTTTGAATTGTTTCTTCAAAGTTTTGAAGTTCCACTTTTGCATCTTTGGTTTCATAAAACCATTCATGATTCTGAGGACTCACTGAAGAATGTTTTCTTTAAGTTTTGGAAAGATGTACTTGGTTGTTTGTGGCCAGCTTAGCTCTCTATATAAGTCAATATCATTCATGTAGCATGCATGTTGACAAACTATTATGACCAGCATTAATTCTGACAACAGTTTTGAAGGAAATCTAAACACCTTAAGCTGCTTTACCATCGCACAATATGCTGACATAATCAAAGGGGATAGCAAATGAGAACATCAGAGATCCCTCATTGTATTTTGAAGATGCAAAACTAAAAACTGAATATTATTTGTGGCATCAATCAAGTACAGCAGAATAGATTTCAAGCATATAGAGACTTACCTCTTTTGGTGAGCAGTCTTGACTGAACACATAATAGATAGCGTAGCCTGGTATGCAAACCATTGATGACAGGGCCATCAAAATGCCCATGACTTGAGCCCAAGTTGGGTAGTTGTAGTCTCCATAAGTCACTGGTGCGTAGTTCACAAAGTAGAACACAAAAATGAACTGCAAAAATAATACAAGATCACTATTATTAACTGAATATTTGCATTGTTGTATGAAAATGACGTTCAACCTCTGGACAATGGACTTAATTTGTGCAACAGACTAGTCTGTTATATGTTGAAAGTCTGTTATGCAAATTCAGTTGGGAAACAAGAGGGGATGCTAGGGACTCATGTCCACTGGTGGCACACACTTCTATACAGACTGAAGTCTGATATGCAGATTTGTCTGTTATTGAAGAGGGAAAATTGTCTCCAGAAGTCCAGAGGCAGTCTGTTTGGCAAAAATCTGTTGTGCAGGATATCTGTTGTGTGGGGGTTGACTGTATACTTTTGTGAACCATCAATTCAGCAAAATTATGCTTCAGTATAATGAACAAAATTGAATAACCCTTCTGATTTTTCATTTCTCCAAGAATTGTTTAATGAATAAGGAATATCTTATTGGGTTAATAGGAACCTTCCAAATTAAAATTCGGGATTTTGTATTACGTTGCTAATTTCTCATGACAGAAAGAAATTTTACGTTCCATACAAAACACATGTCTTTCCATGCAGGGGACAAATCATCATACAGTAATTTTTCACATGTTAATGGGGAACAAAAATTGAGAAACCAGATTAAGGTTGAGGTCATCATGCAATATGTGAGGCTCTATAATGCTTCAATCATCTGTATTTGAACATCAATCACTAACAAATGTTGTAATCTTTTTTGAATTTCGTGCACACATTCAATTTGTATTTTTCAGTTTGTGTGATGATTCTTAATTTGAATTAAAACCAATGAGCTAAAAAATATGAATGTGCATTGAAGAAAATACCGTCAATGAGCATTTATATTCACAGTATAGTGTATTTTTTACTTTAAAAATACTGTATATAGATTCTCAATTTTTTTTCATACGGCAGTGCAATCCTTTGCATTGCAGTAGACTAGTAGAGTAGATGCAGTCAACAGGGTGTGGGTACAAAACATGAACCACCTTTTGAGTCAAATTAGCTTGGCAGCAAAAGAAGCTGTCAAAAATACAAGCTTGTTCAATTCCCCTTTAAATGGTTCGCAGTTTTATTGTTTCAAGTGCCATGGCATGGTCATAAGAATCATTTGAATTAAAATTTTCCACCCAAAAAAATTGCCAGGGGACTGACTCCATCCTTGCACTAAATTGCTAGTCTCCAGAGCTATTTCAAGGGATAAATAGGGCACAGGAACAGTTATGCAACCATCAAACAACATCCTGCTTTAATTCAACAAGGTCCACACACTCTCAAAATATAGGAGGATGGAGGTGAGAAGTTCAAAAAAAATCAAACAGTTGCTGAAAAAGCAGTGAAAAAATCAATCTTGCTCCATACATGTGACCATGCAGTGGCACTGGGGACCATAAAAATATAATTTTGTACCATTTCAAAGGGAATTCAACATGCTTTCATTTGGCGTTTTTTCATTGCCACAGCTTGATAGCTGCCACTGCTACTTGTGCTATTTCAAGTAAAAAATCAGGTTAATTTTTTTCGTCCACTCTGTATGTGGGGCACATGCAGCACAGCCGGTTTCCCACATTTCACACAAAAAAATAACCCAAAGCATAAGTACTTTAATCGTACTACACCACAAAGACTAAACATGGTTGATGATCCATAATTCCCAAATTTTGCACCTCTCTTATGTTTAGATACGTTGATATGATCTCTCACCGCCATGAAACCGGGTCCAAAGTATTTCCAGCACAGTCGCCAGAGATAGAAAAGCTTTCTGCCCATCATCTCATCCACACATTTGGCGATCTTATCGTCACCCCAAACCCAGTTGAAAGCAAATGTTTGGCAAAACGCTGTCAGCAACAGCGTCATTCCCGCCGACCCGTAATTGTCCTCCAGAGTCAGCAAATATACACCTCCCTGCAAATGAAATTGCCATCAGTAAATTTAAAGTTCTGGTTCTGAATCGGATTTCAGGAGGTTCAAAAAGTTTTCGCAGTTTGCTTTGCTGCAGTTGTTGTTTTCAAACTATGCTCCATTGAGAAAATCGGATAAAAATCAATAATTTTTGGATGAAATGAAGTAGATTAGGAGTAGATACGGGAAATGAATTGCGATAAACTGGATTCATTATAGAGTTTTTTTGTGCAAGGAATAGCTAGGATGTCCATAATAAAATTTGCAATCAGTAATTGAAATTTTCAGCATTGTCGAACATTTTTTGAAATCAGATTAACGGACTCGGCCATAAATATTTGCCAAAAATTTTGGCTTCGTCATGGAACTTTGTTCAAGTGCTGTATGTCTTACACTTACGGTATATGATTTGAAAAGGTCGGGACTTTATTTTTTTTCATAAATTCCAGAAACTCAAGATGAAGCTGTGGGTTTATTACCTTTCACAGCATACTCATCAGTAAAAACTGTATATGAAGATTAATTTTTAAAAATTGAAAATTCTGCTTCTCGAATTTTCGGACTCAAAACGGTTGGATTTTGCAATTCGTACTCACATAAGTGACCATGGGAATTTCACAAACGAAGAAGACGATGCAACAAACGATCGTCAATTGACTTCTTTTCTTGGCAAACTTCGGGAATGCGTCAACAAGTGCTGTAATGAATCCTTCCACACAGCAAAACAACGTGTCAATTCCAAGTGTCTGCAAAAGAAAAAAATCACAGGTGATTGTATTACAGTACTTTCGAGGAATATTCTTGAGTGCTAGCATAGTATACTCATGAAAAATTCACACAGGAAAAGTTTGTATACTAGCTGATTATGATGTTGGCTACCAACAAATCAAGACATAAAATGTAAGATTCAACTAATAAATGGTCGATAATTTGAGACAGGGACAAGTAGAGAGTGGGAAAATTAGAGACAGCAAAAATTGAAGATAAGTATCTTTTTAGGCAGGAAAAATCAGAGACAGGGAAATTTGAAGATAGGAGGCAGTAGCAAATAAGCATAAAATCAAAGCCTCATCAGTTCTGAATCAAGAAGTCATAGCCAGTGTTGATTCATTAGCTGTTTTGGTGCTCTTCCAACTAAAGAAATAAAGAGCTTTGAAAGAAAACATGGAGTCAGAGGAAAAGTGCTCTGCATTGCAAGAAATTTACTTGCAGTGGACATAATTCCAGAGGAGAATATAGCAATTTGAATTATGAAGAATGTATTTTTTATGATTCTGTAGAATAAGAAGATCTTGACAGCAATTCTCAGTGTTTGGGAGACAAATGACGACAGTCAACATATTGATTGGAGCTCCATTATTCACAGGTGTCTCAAATTATTGAATAAAACCGGTCTCCAAATGATTCAGTCTTGAATTTTTTAAGAGACCTGGTCTCCAAAGGATTCTATTTAAAATTGTACATGCAGAATTTTCAATCTCAAAATGTCCTTGTATCAACATTTATGTCTCAAATTGTTCTAAATCCATATGTTTTGCAACCCACTTCTTTTGTGCCAATTCTTCAGGGGAAACAGTATTTGCCAGGCACTTGATTACAGTATATAGTGGGGTCTTGGCTTACAATGCAATGCTTGCACTCTTTTCAGCAAACAAACTTTTGTTTTTTGGCTGCAGCTGCTCTGGCTAACAAACCATGCCTTGGCTTAAAACCTTCATGGGTCCAAAAAATGTTCTCTAGCAAAATCTTGGGATTTGTGTTTGAACTTATTCATGAATGCATCTAAGAATGCCTCACAAGTTTAGTGACAGATTCTTGATTGACACTTTTTTATTCATTCTAATTGTGTTACTTAAAATGCAAAAGCTTTTTAGCATTAAAATTTGCCAGCCTAAGTCCTTAGTCTGTGAATAATAAGTTTGTGGCATTGCATTTAAAATTTTCAATAAGAAACCTCCTGAGAAATTCACTGTAAAATTTCACTTCTATGGTTTGTTTTACTGCAGTGAGTTTCTCATACATTGTCTTTTGGAGATGTAATAGATTTTAGGCCTGAAAATATTTTTTTGGATGCATTTTCTGGAATTTTACAGGCAATTTTCAAGGTTCTGGAACCAATTTAAATTATTCGTATCCTTTCTTAAGGGAAAATTTCATTTGTCTTAAAAACTATTTGGCTAACAAACTTTGTTCAGGAACCATAATTAAGTTTGTAAGCCAAGACCCCAATGTATATTTATATACAAGAGCCTCTTCTCAGAAAGTTTCACGAAGACCTGCCATTTTAAAACAAAATAAAATACAGTTATAAATTCCTGCAGTGCATGAAGAAGGAATGCATTTGCACTCACGCAGAACATGAGGAAAAACAAGACAGCCCAAGCAGGTGCCCCAGGAAGTTTGGAAACGACTTCCGGGTAGACGAGGAAAGCGAGCCCAGGACCAGAGTCCACCACGTCCTTCACCTCAACCTGTTTCTCGTGTGCCATGTACCCCAGGACAGAGAACGTCACGACCCCGGCGTAGAGTGAAGTGCCACTGTTGATGCAGCCCACGATTATTGCATCCCTGTAATTGGGAAGAAAATGAAATGAAGAGAAGAAGAAAAAAGAAAAGAACAAACAAAAATAAGTCATGAACTTTGCTGTGAAATAAACTCAAGTAAAAAATTGTCACAATTTTTTTTTACCAATTGGGGCTCAAATTTGAGTCAATGCATGGAAAGCTTGCCCCAGCAAATAATACGCAGGCACCGGTTTAAGCATTCGTTTTGCTACTTCAGCGGGCGACATCTACACGTAACTTATTTTCACGCAATCGACTTCTACTGCTTTTGGATATCGACAGATGGTATCATACGAGGGTTTTAACAAAAGTTCTCGGAGTAACAATGAAAATGGCATATAATTGAACTGAAAAAAAATTATTCTTCAGGGAAAACATATTATTTGGCACACACACAAAATCAGCCTGGTTTGACCATTCTTTAAAAAAAAATTTCAAAATTCATCCCAATAGAGTTTTGCTCTCCAACTCAAAACTCAACTCATGTGGCGGCTGTGAAGGCGGCTGTTGATGAAAATGGTGGAATTACCTTGGATAACCTGGTGGCAACCCTTGGCATGAATGCCACGTTTATTTCGAGAATTCTGAGGGGAAAGCTGGGCTACAATAAAAAAGGGCGCCTAATCTTTTGAGTTGGAGAGCAAAACTCTATCCAGATGAATTTTGCAAAAATTAAAAAAAATTGTCAAGCGGGCTGATTTTTTGTTGTGTGCCAAAGAATATGCTTTCCCTGAAGAATAAATGTTTTTCAGTTCAATGGTACACAATTTTCATTGCTACTCCGAGAACTTTTGTTAGAACCCTCGTATAAAACACGCCGGGACGCCATATATCCTTCAAAAAATTAATTCAACACACTAACGGAGAGGAAAGAAATGGAAAGGCTCTATACTTGCTTGATGCAATCGTTGTTGAATCGGTTGTAGGACCCCAGAGCAAACAGGGTCCCTATAGCCAGACCATAAGAATAGAAAACCTGAGAGCCCGCATCAATCCAAGGCGTGGGAGTTTTCAAGATTTCAAAGTCGGGTGTGACGTAGAACAGCAACCCGTCGGCTGCCCCGGGCAGTGTCACGGCTCTCACCAGCAGGATCGTCAGCACGAAGTAAGGGAACAATGCCGTCACCCATATGATCTGTAGACAATGTAATAATACCGTATTTACCACTTCAGCATATACCCTTGAGTACAGTATATAAGAGGCGCACGGGGGTTATTTTTCAGTTACAAAGTTTGATAAAATCCTACACGTATTCTCCGAGTAAAAAGCGATCCCCATTTTTAATGATTTTAAAACCACAATACAGCACTTCCAAAAAAAAAGTACTTGAAAATTTTAATGTAGACATGAATTTGGCTAGCTTTCAATTTTTTCATGAAAATGCGTTTTTCTGCTGAAAATTTTCAAATTTTATTTTCCAGAATCAATTATACTGTAATGCAAACCTAAATTCCAAAAATTCCTATTAAAAAAATGCATACCCGCCTATGATGAACACCCCCTTTTTTTATTCTCGAATTTCAGACAAAACTGCTCATGGTACTCAAGTAAATATGGTACTTGTATATACTGTGCTGATCTGTAAAATAAATCCTGTATTTACTTAAGTATCACATGCACCTTTTTTCCCCTGTAACCTGAGTGGACAAACAATTTGGGGTGCATTTCCTAATTGGGCATGGCAATTCCCTCGAAATTGTAAGACCAGTTACAGTCAAACCTCTTTAATTCGAATTTCAAAGGACCAGCAACAATGAATTATTTTGGAAAATTTTGAGTTAGGGAAATAAGCTGCATTCTTGCTTGGGGGGGGGGGGGGGAGAAACAATTATATCAGCTATTATAATTTGTGATATTCTCTGCCTTAAATTGCCTCTTAAATGAGTTGACAGGAATAAGCTGTTCATTGGACCAATTAGTTCACTTCCTTCCAAAATACATGGTTAAATTTTTATTTTATTTCTCTTTTCTGCAGAAATAGAATACAGTAATAGCCAAAAGCTATACCTGTTATAGATTGATGTCTCATTATCTCTAACATAAATATGCCACAAATGAGATACAGGGTGCGGCCTAAGTTTAAAAAAATGTAGATTCAAAGTTTTGTTTGAGATTTTTTTTAGCGGTGTTTTTAAAAACAAACGGAAAAGGGGTTTGAAGCCCCATTTTCATCAGAACTTTGCCTAAAAGTCCACAAAATTGCAAATACGTATCCCTACGCTACGTCCAATCTGCCTGTCTTCGAAATTACCCTGTCATGTTCTATTCCCGGATATTCAGATAACACAATTGCACTATTAGGCCATTGTGAAAACTTTCAAGTGGCACTGAAAGCAGTGTGGTTAGGTTTTCAGTAAAAGAAATTTTCTGAATTTTTTTCATTTTCTAGTATAACCAGCAGGGGTTACACTGGAGTTTTGGCAGATTGTCAGACATTTAAAGCACAAGGTCTTCAGCTTCTTCCTGTATGAGGTTTAGATGAATGAACAATTTAGAGAGAATCTTTGATGAGAAATCATATAAGGCCAACAGTTTATCTTGATCCTTTAAGATTTCAGAAAGTGTCTCTTCATTGAATTTCAGTANTCTCTTCATTGAATTTCAGTACTTTTAAATCTTTCTTCAGCTGATTTCTATCCATACAAAATGCTGGACATAAGAATAGAAGGTGCTCTGGTAATGCACAAACTAATGTATTTATGCTGCAGGAGTTACACTACAGAAACCTTTGAGAGTTGGATGAATTTTTTACATAAACCTTTAGTATACTGCTATTTTATTTTCAATGTCAGGAAATGAGTTGGTGCATTCACACATGTCAGATGTCCAGTTTTATTTTGTGGATTGTATTTTCTTTTATTTTTTTCATCAATTTGTGCTTTGTTTCCTGCTTTTAAGTGATTAAATGTCTTTGAGGGGATTTGGGTTGGGTGGGGAGGGGTTTCGGATGTGGAAATCTTGATTGTACCTTGTGAACGCTGAAAAGCGGCAAATAAAGTGTTCTGTTCATTCATTCATTGTCAGACATATTATATGAATGAATATTTCAGATAACCTGATGGGTGAGATTATTTTCATACTTTCAGAATGAGATCATATCTATTCTCAATCAAACTCCCCTAGCTGCATGCAAAAAAAATGATTCTCATGATTCCTGAAAAAACCCTTCTGTGAATAAATGGCATACACATACCAGAAAACACTGTATTAATTTTTATATATTTTTCTGAGCATTTATTTGGCAGTTTCTCAACAATAGATTCGTTTTTCCCCAAAATCTTATTGGATTGAGTATCCCGTACACAAAATCTTGCTCAAAGGAATATTTATTGAAACATTCATAGGAAGAAATTGGATTTTCCAACGGGTGTGTACAGATTGAAATTTTCCAGTTCTCCCTGAGTTTGTTTCGCAAATTAAGTCAACTGGTCACTGAATATTATTACTCACTTTCCCACTGTTGTGAAGGCCCTTGTATATGATGAAGTAGGCAATGACCCAGGCCAAGGCAAGAAATCCCAACAGCTCCCACTGAATATTCACGGGTTCTTCTATACCCGAAGAAATTCTCAGCGCTCGGCGTCTGCAAAAATTCCAAACAAGAGCAAAAATATATCCATCCATCACATACATGATGTACCGAATTTCACCAAAAATTGGGCAGGTTTTCAGTGTGATTATTTTAACCCAGAATACGAGCAACGCGAAATATTTGGGACGTGTCTTATATTCAGACGAAAACGAAACAAACTCAGGGAATATGACGGGATTTTTTTTTTCATTTTAAGGATTCGAGAAAAACTGTTTTTCGAATGTGTGGAATGGTTGTGATGAGTATAAAAAGCATCAGGGAAATAATGCAAGCCTGAGTTTGAAAAGTTGATAATTTCAGAAAGCTATATAAGAAATTTTGAATGAAACCTGAATTCAAATAATTTAAAATTGTTTGCATTATAAAAAAGTATGAATCAACAATCTTCCGATGAATATGTGCTGAACCTGAAACTCTAATATTTTGAAAAATATATACTGTACTCGAATTTGTCACTAACCCTCCAGTTCCATCCTATTTTCGGAAAAAAAATTGCACAAGGAAATTGAGTAATACATTTCTTCCGATCCTTGGGAATTTTTATGGTACAGTCTTTTACGAATTCATGTGATAGTCTATGGCTTTTCGGGGCAAGTTTTCAATTGCATTACATTATATTGGTATTTATTCTCGGTCATATACACCATATAAACATAGTTATTATCCTTAACCCCGCTTGAAATTATTTAGTAATCTTAATTTCTTCACTGCAAATCCTTGATAATGTCCAGAGTAAAATTGTGCAGCTGGTTGTGGCCCAAAATCAGTGTGAACCCTGGGATACAGAAAAATTGAGAAAGACAATTTGAGACTGAACAAATCAAGACAGAAAGACAGAACAGACAGAAAAGACAGAAAATTATGAATCAAAAATTTGTATAAAAATTATCCAATTCTTTTTTCAAAATATCAGGGAAAATTCAAGACAGAAACTTTTTTAGACTAGGACAATTGGAGCCATGGAAAATTGGAGGCATGGACATTTAGAGACAGGGACAATATGAAACAGGGACAATTTGAGACAGTCCCAAAGTAACTCTACACACAAGCTTTGTATTTTCTATTTTATTATATTTTCTATAAATGATATAGGCTGTTCTGGTGTTTTTTATGTGAATTGCAGTTTATAGCAATGGATCAAAAGTGGAATGAAAGCAAGAAAATGCTTTAGTCTCAAATAGTCCTTGCCTCAAAATTTTCTCTGCTTCCAAATGTACCTGTTTCAAATTTTTCTTGTCTCCAAAAAAAGAGTTTCTGCCTCAATTTGTCCCTGTCTGTAAAAGTTTCAGTCTCCAATTGGCCCTGTCTCCAATTGTCTGTCTCAATTTGTCATAGATCCATAAACCCCATACAGTATACATGTGGTACTTATTGTCCATAGATATGGTAAGCTCAGAAAAAGGTTTTGACATGGACCAACACTTTGGTATAAAAATTTTCCAATTTTTTTTTCATATATCAAACAAATGTGTTGTATACAAGCCTTATATGATTTCTCATCAAAGATTCTTTCCAAATTGTTTAATCATCTAAAACTTATCTGGGAGCAGGTTGAACACCTTGTGCTTTAATTTGGGGTTAGTAATTGCTTTATGCTACAATTTTCATTACTGATGTTTTGTTTTTGTGAACAGGGAAGGAGAGAAAGTGTACATATTTATATCAGTTGTGCAGTTTCACTCCTTGGGATGTATTTTCTTTTCTTTTAATACCCATCCATGTACAGCTTTTTCCCCTATTTTTTAATTCTGATGTGAAGAATGTGTTTGGATGAATGTGGGTAAGGGGAGGGGGGCTGGATGTGGGAACATTGTTTGAACCTTGTGAACGCTGACAAAAAGAAAATAAAGCTTGCTGTTCAATTCAATTCAATTATGGTATAAAGGTAAAGTATCATTTTTCCAGTGGAATGGCTTTCTGCCAAATTTTTTTTTTCGTTTCGTACGAATGCTTCTTTTTGCAGAGTGAACCAGTGGCGAATCGAAATCAGCAGCCTCCAATAAGTCGTCGACGTCGACGACCCCCGCAACCAACCCCGTGATGCTCAGGTCAAGTGACGACCCTGTTTTCGACGTCATCTCAACTTCATCATCATCATCATCAGTGTCTTCATCGTGTCGCAATTTCACTCTCTCATCATCATCATCATCAAAAATTGGACGAATTTCCGCGACTGATGGTGCACCATTAGCAGCATCAGTTGCCGCCTCGGAATGTCTGCTGCTGCTGATGGGTTGCGCAGACTTGTTAGTTTCGGGTTCGGTACTGATGCTGGCTTCCAAGTGTGCTGGATTATTCCGAGGATGATGATCGTCGATCAGGGCAGAGGATTTCCCGCGAATGTGGCACAATAGGCCGCAGCAGCCGCATAAGCAGAAGCAACAGGAGCAGGTGCCCAGGATGAGGAATGCGATCGAGGCCGAGGCCCACCAGGCGAACCCGCGAATCCAGTCAGCGCAGCTTCTCGCGAACCCCACGCATTCCGACGACGACTTCATCAATATAATCAACCAATCATCGATGGTTCATGTATGGATACTTTTCGCGGATTCCGATATCAAGTTAAAATTTTGTTTTCTTTGTTCTGAAGATTTCTGCATGATGAAAGAATAAACTGTAGAATTTGAATACATGGGTGAATGTGAAAGTCGGAACTAGCATGAAAAGTAGACTATACAGTATTTGCAAATTATACTAGAAATATCCACGCAAACCCGACACATTCCGACCACATCGTCAATCAATCAATCAATGTTTCCTCGATACTTTTTCCCTGATTATCCCGTTTCCTTTTAATTTCTGATGAAAAATTTTTGAAATTGGTGAATTTGCAAATCAGAAAAAGCATTTTGAAGAAATGTATTGCGATCTCTAATTTCGAAATAAGGCGCACTTTTTCGAAAATTCTAAATGGAAATTTTTGTATTACGAGCCAGAAAATCCAGTCATCGGAGAAATTGAAATTGCATAATTCACCCACCATAATATTGTCTTAATTTTTGATAAGCAAACATGATTTGGAAACTCGTGAGCCGAACACCTTCCGACGACTTCATCAATCAATCACTGGTTCATATAATCAATGTTTTCCCTGATTATCCCGTTTTTTCTGTGGTTCATTTTGAAAATTTTTGATAAAAGGTTGATGGACTACGAACGAATATTAAAGTCGGAAATAACGTTGCTAAGAAACGTATGCTGGCGAAGTTATTTCGAAATGAGGCGCATTTTTTCTGAAAATGTGCCTCAAAAAATACGTAATTGCGAACCTGCAAATTCAGTCATTGCAGTTTCGTTTCAAAAATTTCTGATGAAAGATTGTTGGAATGGGTGAACTGTTCAAAATTATTGTGAATAAGAAATGTATTATGCAAAGGTATTTTGGAATAAGGCGAACTTTTCTGAAAATTCGCCTCATTAAATTTTGGAATTGCGTACGCGCAAATAATTAATTTATTCAAAAAATAATTCACCTAATGTGTTTTAAAAGAATTTCAACAAATTTTCATGAAATATAAACTGGATTTTCAAACTGGTAAACCCAGTCTCGCGAACCCAACACATTACGACAACTTTTAATCATGCAATCCATTGTTCATCAATATATTCCCCTGATTGCCTCATTATTCTGTGGGTTAGTTTTGAAAATTTTCCAATAAAGATTGATGGATTGGGTGAATTTTAAAGTCGGAAGTAACATCTTGGAGAAAGGTATCCTGTATGGTGAGGTTATTTCGAAATGAGGCGCACTTTTCTGAAAATTTGCCTCACAAATAAGAGATTGCAGACCCAAACAATCCAGTCATCGCAGTTTTTAAAATTCCACTTCTACACGCTGGAATGGAATCAAAAATTTCTCCCAGTTTGTAGGAAAAGCAAACTTTTTGGAGATTTTGGGTGCACTCAAGAATAGTATCATATATAAAAAAACCATGGCAATGAGTGGAGGGTAAAGTTGGGAAAAATCCTGGCATTTTTTAATTTTCCATGGGAAAATTTGACTTAGAAATAAAAAAAATTAAATCTTGAAGGCTCCCTTTCTTCCCCTGGCCTTGCCTTGTTCCCCCATTCAAAGATTAAATTTAAGCTTGAAAGCCAGGAGCCCCGTTTAGGGGTCAATACAAAAAACCCAACTTAGGACTTGTGCAGCATTATTTATGCCCAGATAAAATCCAACTTTGCCCTTCCTCACCTGGCAGGGGTTGCATAACCTTGTGCAAAAATGTAATGCTGGCCTATGGGGAAAAATTCCAACTTTGCCTTGTGATGGAAAGGAGGATGCTGCCATCCAAGGACTAAAACAGGGCCTCCAAATGAAAGACCCTTTTTTGGCTGCAAGGTCAACAGGGAATGGCAGGGATCACCACTGCCAGGGGGCAGGGAATGGCAGTGGTCATAGGGTATTGCAGTAGCCTTAGGTCACACCTACCCTGCCTGGACATATTTTACCAAACACATTAGGGAGTTGGATGCATTGGCACTTACACATTAAATGTGTGGACAGACTTTTCCACTGCACATTAGAGCAGTGTTCCCTAACTCATGGTTTCTGGTCTGCAGAAGTTTTTTGCTGGTCTGCAGGAAATTTTCAGCGTAATCAGTCAATCAAAACTCAGGATGAAGTCTTTACTTGTCTTTACCTTAAACTTAAGAAGGAAAATAGCAATCACAATCATCTGATGAAAATAGAAGTTGGCTTTTCTCATAATGACACTTATATGCATTTTCACCTGCTCAAATATATCTGAGAAACTTTTCTTCAAACCCAACTTTTTCATTTGTTGATGGTATTTAGCCAATATCGACGAAGTAACCACGAATTGAGGTAAAAACTTCTTTTTTTTTTGATATCTGTGGAAGTTTATAGACGGTATGTTAGAAAGTTCGTTTTGAAAAATTTTAGAGGTTTGTAAAATACTTTGGAAATGTCATTCGGCAGAAATTTGTTTGGGAATTTGCTGGTTAGCAAAGAATGTTATGAGAATTTTAACCATTTGTGGAAGATTTAATGGGAATTTTTCAGTCCATGGGTCCAAAAAGGCTGGGGAACACTGCATTATATAGAGACCTGTATGGATTGGAATTTGACGGATTGGTTGGATCCCAGATTTGCCTATAAAATATACGTGATCCATGAAGTGATGCACCGTATCTTTCATTCCCTGAAAATGTGTGTGCTTTCTAATTTTTTTGTGATGATTTTCACAAAAATAGCAGGATTTTATTGCTTACCCCTAGCATGCTTCAAGTCTTTCAACCGAATCAAAATTGACGACTTATTCCTCGGATGTTTGTTCAGCTGCGAACGAGTACAACATCGGCATATTATCTATTTTCAGTTCCACTGATAAGAGAAGCTTTCCAACTTATCTGCCACATTATACTGTATGACTTTCAATCCGATTTCGTGTGATGTGTGCTTATTTTCATAACTGATATCCTTCTTACACAAACACGTTCACGAATTATTAAAAGCACGATTGCTGC